ATATGCAAATACTTCCAGGAACAGTAATCTCTTAGCAATGTATTACTAGATGGAAGAACAGCTTTTCCCAACTTTGTATTACAACAAAACAGTTCTAGCCACCCTACCAGTATTTGCTTGGCTCCTCCCCAACCTTTATCAAGTAAACATTAATTCTAGAAAATGTTGCTTGTTTTCACTATATACAGGCACTATTTTGTTCTTAGGTATCTTAAAAAAAAGATAGGACAAAATGTCAGTAAAAGTCTGAATAGGACAGACACTGCTTGTATTTATATAATGCTGCATATCAATATATATACATTTACAAACCCAGTGTAGAATCCCTGAATATGCTCATTACTTCTGGCATTGTTTCTGGTTTTGAAATACCAAGTTCATTTTCCACTTTGCCTTTTTTTTTTTTTTTTTAATTTCCAATTTTATCACTTAAAAGCAATTTTGGAGAATTTTACCATAAAGCATTAAGGTAATTTACTAAAAGTGACAGATAAACAGTATCAGGGTAAAGGTCAAGCCTCCCTAACGTTTTTTAAGAGTTTTAGGCAATTCCAGTTTTGTAGAAATAGAAATAAGAAAGGAATTGCCAAAGTATGCTTCACCACAAAGCATAAGAAATAATAAGAAACCCTGTGAAATACAAGCCGAGATAGAGTTTATAAAGATGATGCATCCATGGATTTAAGAGATGCCAGCTGTCACTCAATAAAGATTATTTAATTGGGAAATCAGTTTTCTCTTGTAAAATTGCAAATTTCAAGGCAAACAATTGCATCCCTAGAAGAAGAATGCTACCTCCATTGTGAGACATAATGAATACTAACTCCAATCCCAACAGCTTTCAGCGCCTTCTGAAGGAAGTTGTAGCTGTTTCCAGAGGTAGTATCCATAAAGTTGGCACTATCTGCAGTGATAAACTTAAGCCAATACAATATAAACACAATGTCTGAATAAAGGCAATGTGGGAGCATCTTCTACCACTGATGCAAAGCTATAGAGTCTCAGTAGAGCAATGGTATTTTCCCATCCTTAGTTTATGAGGTCCGTAGGAAAGGCAGCACTCTGCAGTATTCTGTCACCAGTACTAGGGATTAGCAGCATAGCAATTCTGCTGCTGCTTTTACTGGGGAACAATTTCATCCAGTTTTGTATTTTCAGGCTTTCTGGAAAACTATGTTTAACACTGCAGTCATATACCTATTTCAGAAGTTACACCAATACCCACAATGTGTAATACTGGAGACAGCATCCAATCTTTCTTACACAATGCTTTTTTTCTTCTTTTGTTTAATTAAAGAGATTATGGGTTTCCTAATCCAAAAATCACTGACAAAATACACATAAGTATACCTTTCTCCCCAAAGTCTTGATGAGAAGCCACATAGTCCTTGAAATCAGACAAGCCTCAATGTACCCTAGATGAGCTGCAAATACATACCATTGCGCATGGAAATATCTGACTGCTGTCTCCATTATTAGATATGTGGGTATCCATTTCTGAAAAAAAGTATATCATATGTATGACTACAACATTAAACTTTTTAAAAAAAAAAAAAAAAGCAATCTTTCAAAATAAGTCATTACTGCTCCCAACTGGTCACAGCATCTGTGTGCTGAAAGTCACCATATTGTAGTAAGGCTGGCAAAATGAATGTGTGCCAGATTCTTGCCCATTGCAGTTTGTTGCTTCATGTATTAAATTAAGCCAGTATTTACAGTGACCTGAAGTTAACACGCTGGGCTGTAAGCTGGCACACATTTACTTCTGCTAGCTCTGCTACAGCACAGTAATGCTCAGCTAAGGTACAGGAAGGGGAGGAACGGCTAACTTAGTTCAAGAAACAGTTACCGCTAGCCCTTTGGCACTATACTTACTTAATACAAGCTTAATTTGCTAGAAGAGAATGATAAAAGCCAGCACAGTTGTATTTTACAATACCATGAGACCATATTGTTATGGTTTACTACAATCATTCCCTTCTGAATTCCAAATTGTTTTTGTTCAAACTGAATACTGAATCTACTAAATACAAGTAAATACTTGCTCCTGGAATGATTGTTTACAGTAAAGCTAAAGGCCATCAACTTCTTGCATATAAGCATTATGAAAAAGATGGTCTCTCCCAAGAAAACTTAATGCCGCTAAAGAAACAGGTGTGTGAGGAATTCCCCCCCCCCTTTTTTTTTGAAACCCACAAGCCATCTAAAAACTTATCCCACTTATCCCACAGAGCTGCTGCTTGCTTATGTAGATGAGGCAATATAACCAGGAACTGGTACATTACAATGACCAGAAGTCAAAATGACCAGTTTGATTATTTTCACATTAATGTGAGAGTGATCTAAACTAAACTGCTCTTAAACAGGCTGTCTCTTTTCAGAAAAGAATATAGATTGTTAAATATGCAAGGACAAGTTCTTGTATTTCTACTGGTAATCAGACACTAAAGATAAACCCTAAATAATCAAGGTACGCTTCTTCATAATGTGCTGTTTTGTTTTTCTAAACATGGCAAAATTCAGTGAATATTTCATATTCTAAGAAGGTATTATTGGAGGTTTTGTTTCTTCTTTTCTTTTTGGCAGTATACTGTTACTGTACCACCACGGAACCATACAATTGGTTCCTCAGTCAGGCATGGCACATAGCATGAGCTCCTTAAACTACATTTACTGAGAAAGACTGTACCACGGAGGGTTCTTCATAGCAAGTCCTAGCTGAATTTGAAACAGGAAGCATCAATATGAAGCCTCATTTCAAAGGAGGACAAACTAACAAGACTACATCAGATATGAATTCTCTACACAAAACTATTTTTCTTCATGTTGGGAAAGGAACATTTCAAAATAGCAACAGATCTTCTCAGCTGATTTGACTGATTTGCCATTATTGAAAATAACTGTGTCTGAAATACCATTTTAATCTTCACAGCAGAGGTCTAAGGGGGTTGGGTAAAGGGAGAGGGAGAAGAGGAAAACTTAAAAACAAATAAAAGAATGCTTTAGAATGACTCTTTAAAATGACTTTGTTGAGTACCATAGGAATCTGAAAGATTGTCTCAGAAATAACTGGGATAGCAAATGTGGTCAACAAAAACGCCTTGACCAGTGAGCAAAGAGGAGCAATGGAAAACTGGAAATACATTAAAGATGTGTATTTCTTGCTAATAATCTTCTTCAAATGCTCTCTACAAGAAGCTATAATGAGAACACAACATTTCAGTGCAAAACTGTGAACTAAAAAAAGTAATATAATAAAGATGCTTCCCAAATATCACGGTGGTCTCATTCAAGCTGGTTAGAATGTTGCAGGAGTACTTGGGGACAGCCTCAGGTTCTTTGTTGTCCTCCACCCCAGCCAGCAACAATTATAAAAAAGTGTTGCATTAAAGATTTGATGTGAGCCACAAAACCAAGGAAATAAAAGTACAGGACGGTTAATTCAAGCAATACATCCTTCTTATTCAGTTAGTTGGAATTGATGTGTGAGTCTTTCAGAATTTAAACTATTAAATGGGATGTTTCTGTATTTCAATGAACTTGAGTCAAACCACTAAATTAAGCTTGAGTCTGTCCTCCAGACACATACCTGTGAGTTTGAAAGTGTAAAACCAGCATCCTTGAAACCCCTCATTTAAGCATAAAATTTCATCTGTAAAATTGCAGCAGCTAATTTTGAGAATCTGAGGAGTAGGCTATTTGTGTCTTAATAGGCAGCCTGTTTATTGCAAACCTATAGCAGGACTTCTTTGCTTAGTATCAGAGTACCTTCCAATCACTTTCTATGGCAATGTATTTTTAGAAACAATATAAAAATACATGCAATACTGGGAAAATAAGAGCCTTCCACATCTATCAGCACTTCTGCAACTTGAGTAAAACAAACATCGATGTTACCGAGAGCTGTTTGTACACAAATCTTGGATATCCTTATCGCTAGATAAGAACAGATTTTTGTTGCAACAGTTGCATTACCGTCAACAATAAATGCAAGGCATGCCTGTATTTTGTATAACTCATTATCAAACTCCGAAATAAATTCAAGAGAAGTTACTAGAAACTGAAAGGTGGTTCTTTGGTTAAGCACGTGCATCTGCTACTTCGTACCCAGGGCCTCACCGTATTTGTGGAAAAGCTCTTCAAGTATGAAATTTCTACCAAAAATCCCGCTTCCTATTTATAAAAAGGATCCATTTATAACGATCCATTGTGTCAAAATATTTCAACAGTCAATACAAAAGGCCTTAAATGTCACCAAACCTGCAATTTAAGCAAAATTACATATGGAAGAAAAACACTAGAGGAGTTTGATGCTGTGACCTAGGCAACACACCATTTCAGGCATTTAAGAACTGTTTATTATTAAGATATATCTTAATTTATAAGATATATTTTATAACTTAAGATATTTTGCCAGAGGCTTACAGGGGAAAACCACCCAAAATAAACCAAACCAAACCAAAATCCATGCTCTCTCCCCTTCCTCTTTGGAAATAAACTTAAATTTGTTTGAAAAGTTAATTGAACTCAGCCACACCATTTGAAAACCAACGCTGAACAACCCCCATTCAACTTCTTCCTATTACTGGAAGTAGACATGACAATCATACATTCCCTCTGCCTGAAAACGCTTAAGGCCTTTGATTAAATTTAATTGACAAGATGACTCCACTGGGATGGTGGGTAAACAGCAAAATACTATCACATTTCACTGCAAACGAGGGCAAGATTTAAACAAGTCCTCCTATTTCAATAGGAGGAAAACCTACATTTAACAAGTTGCATGTTTACTGATTTCAGGAAGATACTAGAAATACCAGTCTCCAACAACATTAAATTTCAGTGCATATAAGACAGTAATATTTAAGTGTTATTATGAGTTACAGATGATGGTCAAAGCCTCTAAAGAAATACTTTGAGGAGCAGCAAATAAGTATATTCTACTTTCATTTAACAATGAGTGGTTTACACCTTTTTCCCCACCAGATTAACTGAGAATAAATATTTTGGAATTTGCTTTCTTTAAAGTTACTACAATTTAATAACACAACCCAATAAATAAAAGCCAAGTTAGTTATTTCAGCAGATAAGATAATGACTCCAGTGGACATAGCTGTCCTCTTCACTATTCTCTTTATGAAGACAGAAGGTCTTCAACAAGGCAGTTGAACTGTGTGTTAGTATGCAAAGCCATGGGAAGTAGACATTCTCTCTTGAAGAGGCAAAGTGCACAATCATGTAAGGCCAGCAGATGTTCGAGAAGTGGTTTCTCCTAAAGCCTAAGCTATGCTTCCCTGTGAGCTGCCCCTAGGCACAGCTGGAAGGGGACAGAAGGCCATGGCTGTTGTGAACTCAAGACAGAAGACGGATTCTCTCGTGTCTAACAGATGCGGCACAGCACCTTCGTCACTCTGCAGCCATTTTCATCTCCTCAGGACTCTCTCTAGATGACCTGCGGGTGGGGTGGGGGGAGAGAAAAAAAAGTAAGACTCAAATCTGTTGAGTGATTACAAATATCTAGTTTCCTACACATTAAACTGGAAACAAACATGCATGCAGGTTTTTGTGCGTGCTGTGGGAAGCTCTATCTACAGCATAAACGGAAAGTTTTGGAACATAACATCTACAAGTCAGAGACTACAGACAGGTCCAATTAGTGGTTTTTCTCCTAAGTTACCCATATGAAGGATGACAACATTATTCATGTGAATGAAGCAAAGGATTATTTCTGACAAGCACAGAATCCTCTTTAAGATATATGTGTGATGAGCTAACCTATGTAATTGAACAAGACAGTAGAGACATTAAAGTGGCTACTGTCATTAATAACTTCACAATGATTTCCAACTCAAATTAAGTATTCAATTAGGAGTTTATTCATCCCATTCCTTAACCATACAGTTTAAAGATACGTTTCTATATTCCACATTCAGTAACTTCAATAAAGAGATTAATCAAGATCACACTTTTAATGGAATAATGGCATATAATGTTACCTCATTTTTTAAATTCAAGTATGTTTATTTATATTTTGCAGTACTGTACAGTAACACACAACAATGCAATATTTGCAGGCAGGCCTCTTAAGGACAATGAACACTGACTATTACGTATCCATGAATAACAGTCCAGAAAAAAGGATGTTCAATCATCTCTGAGCACAATGGCAACATATAAATTATAGGATGCAAAGGTATTATCGGTGAATTTTCTAAAAGAGCCTTCTGTAAGAAGCTGAGAGACATTAAACAAACATTTCAAGTTTTCAAGTTCCACTGAGTATTTTACTTTACCATAATTTTTATTTTTAGAATACCGGATAGCTGAATCCTCTCCAAAAACTTCAATACGCATGCAGGTGTGTATGCACACTCATATATAAACATCATGCACACATTCTCTGTAACTATGCATACATACACTTATCCATGTAAAAACATTATGCATACATGTAAGACACTTACAACTTACCTGTAAATCTGTAATGGCCACGCTGCTTGCGATGGAGTGGGCACTGAATTTGTTGGACTCACCAACATGGCACTATATATGTTGGAAGCAACCACAAGTATACAAAGTAGAATTGGTCCTATGATGGCTCCTTCCAGTCCCAGGTAATATGCTCCACCAGCTACCGCAAGCCCTGTCAGGTAAGGATGACCACCTCTGGAATTATGGCACAAGCAGAATAAAATAAAATTAAGAACAACAAACAACAATACTATAAATTATAAAATGTGAATTATTAATCATTAAGTTTTATTAAGCTTAGAAAATGACATAGCTAGCTATCGATACCCATATTTACACTATAAGCTGCTGTTTGAATGACTGCACAAATATTCAAAGCTGTATTCTGCGCTGTTATTTGCACAATAGATGAAACAATATATTGTAGCATATAACGCTGGTAATATCCACAATAGAGTAGCTACTTTCTAGACATCTACTGAAGAATGTCTGAAGGACTTAATGGCAAAAACATTTCTGTTTTGAAAATGGAAAGATGATTGATTACAAAGACTGTTCATGCTTTATGGTCAAGAATTGTTAAATTTTAAGACAACTAGCAATACGTACTATGAGTGCCCCTGAGCAAAGACATTAATTTACACAATGATAACAACTTGCATTGCATCTTTCAGAGAACCGTTAGCATATATTCTTTGAATAAATAGTCATGTCTTCTCATTTTGTTATAAAACAACCCCACAGACTGAGTGTTTGTTATCATTAGCTTTTAATGTTTTTAGATGAAAATCAAAACCAGTTTTTTATGAACATATCAATATTTCTGGAAAGTTGGGGCCAGTGGAGCTTTTGATAAGAGCTATTATGGCAGCAAGTAAGCCATGCCATTTTTCTTTTCCATGTTTCAGTTCAGGTGCACAACATGAATCCCATCAACAGCATTTACACAAAACCTGCTCATCATGCTTAATCTTTATAGCTAAAATAATGATGGTGATATGGAATTATATAAGAAAAGCTACAGTTGAAACTGAGCTCCCAATTTTGAGGAAGCTGCTCTAAATTCTGAGTGTAATGGAGTGAAAATACCAGCTAGTCAGTTTAGAGCTCCAGCAGCTTCTACCAGGTTTCTACTATGGTCCTGACTTCCACCCAACTCCCACATTGGCAGTCTTTGCCTTCATCACAGCCGTGTGCAGAATGACACCATGAAACATGACCTATTACATCATACACACCTCAGTCATGTCTTACCTAGATCACACTTAACCCACTGGTAGGGCCAGACTGTTTTTCTGAGGGGACAGATCTGACCTTAAAGTTTTATGTTTCTCCAACAGTAGACACATGATTCATTTCTAAACCTCTAAAAAGTTCAAATAGTTTTTTTCCAGCATCTGCATCAGTTTAAACGTTCTTCTGGCTAGTTTGCTAAATTAAACAACAGATCACCTGATGAAATAGGACTACAGTCTGCATTTAATGCATTTGGCTAACCCTGCATAACCTAGTTATAGCTATTTCAAATAGATTTAATCTAATCTGCAAGACAGAACGATGCTTACTGTTGTATTTAATGGGAAGAATACAATTTTGCTCCACTGTCAGAAAATCTATTCCTGCCACATATATTTTCTGGACAGTAAACAGAGCCTGCATCCCCTACAGTCAAAAAAATGTATTCTAATAAGTGGAAGACTTATTGGCTGGTTAAATAGCTACTAGTCTTGAATTTATCCATGATTTATTGTTGTAAACAAACAAACAAACAAAAGTAATTTGATTATACTTCACCTGTTAACTTTAATTCATGCAAAATAATTAATGCCACAGTCCATAAAAATTATTATTAATATTGTGCGTATTATCATTAGGTTCTCTCTGTTCAGTGTAATTATATTTGGTGAACAAAAATATTAATTTCTAACTTAACACAGAACTGAAACACTTAATGTCCTTATTCTACATTAACTCTACTATAATAAACATCAGCACAAATGAGGGACTAGTACCAGCATGTAACTAAGTCTGGACCGTGAAGTCCTCAATTCAAAGAGTTTACTAGGATTGTTTCTGATGATCAGGACTGAAGCAGTAACTAGAAGGGTGCAGCTTTTTATCTATATTGTACATGGTTGTGAACATGTCTTGCGCATATGAAACTTGACAGTTCACGTCTTTGCCAGCTCTGTTAAACAGCGCTGCTTTGTCTTCTAGTCTGAATTGCATAAAGGGATTCACTAGATATTTCAGCAGCAGAAAGTGTCAGTGGACAATTCAGTTGCACTCAGATACAACTGCAAACGTTGACTTTGTCTTCATAGTCTGAGTTTGTTTCTCCGTGTACAAACTCAAAGCTGAAACCAGGAGACATTTCAAGTCAAGAGAGGCAGCCAAACACCTAGCAAGATTTTTCAAGAAATCTCTGCCTGCCTCCCACAACAAAGCATTGGCTACTGTCTCAGTAGAAGCCTATGTCCAGTTTTGCAGTTTCATCTGTCTCAACATATTTAAAGATCAATCCATAATCAATAGATTTTTACACTGGGGTACGGTGACGCAACACAAAGGCTGGCTTCAGAAAAATCCTCAAATTCTCACAATCCACTCTGAAAAATTAAAGTATTTTTTTCAGGTCCCTAACTAGCTCATGGATTTCTTGTTTGTTCTGCAGCATCATCTGGCATTAGGTGATGTAAAGGAAAATGCGACACATCTTTAGTCAATGATTAGATAAAACACAAAGGTACTCTTAGAGTTACTTTACCAATTGAAACAGTTGATTTTGATGACTTTGAGAATGAGTTCAAGACCTCTGGAGTGACAAAGTTCACAGGAAAGAGGGCTGGGAAAGTAAAGGCGCTTAGGCCAGTAAGACTTCTTACTATGAGGTGATACTACTACACCTGTTCCTGTGCTTGAAGATACTGTACGCATGCTTCCGAAAAGTAAGTTTAATTAAAGGCATCAATGATCATTAAGCATTTTTACAATACTACCTTTAAAAAGTCTTCAATGTACTTACCCTGATATATCTGAATAAATTGCTGTATCTACAAAATAGGTTGGTAAGAGGTGAAAAACCAAGAGCAAAATGGCTTTGCATCCTTGTCCTTGCACAAGCCACAAATCTAGAACTGCAGGGATGGCTGCCCAGTATGTCCCCAGAAACGGCACTGCTCCAAGGATTGCTGCTAATGCTAGTGCACACAAAAGCCGAGGTGAGAAAAAGACCAGAGAAACATATTTCACAAACACATTTACAGTTAAATTCTGACACTTTTGCCACACCAGTAGTCCCACTTCTATCAGCTCTTGTAAATAAGACACTGAAGAAATGCCACATAAGGGTCTTGGTGTTTTATAGCTGTGCTTTAGGAAAAAAAGAAAATTACGCTATTCCCCATACAGAAAAGCTTCACCAACTGCCAGTCATAAGGAGTTACTTCCAAAAGAGACCAATCCAGAAAAATTTAAAGTTATACCGATCATGCACATTTCAGACTTTTACATTACTACAAATTAGGCACTGTGTGCAAGAAAGTATACAAGCAAAAGTCTCATTGTAACTTACTGGATCTCCTGCAGTCAACCGTAATAATGTAGGTAGCACTGTGAGAAACCAGGCACATAAAAAATCCATGACTTACGTATTTCTGTCTGCACATGTGCACACACAGGTGCACACCCTTCTGATTATACAAATACCTGCTGTAATCTAAAGTGATGCAGTACTGCTGTCATTTTAATGCAACAGGAATGACCATAATACAAAAAATAATTAAGGTTTTTTTCTCTTTCTTGGTCTCATTAACTAAAAAGCAAAAGCTTTTAAGATTTTGCATGTAGCTGAAAGAAAAAGAACAATTACCTTCTAAGTAGGTCTAATGATTCCCAATTCCTTTAAAATAGGTGTACTTTAGAATACATTCTATTATATCATTATATCTATTCTATTATCCATTTTCTATTATATTGGGTTTTGTTGTTTTATAGCTTCCCCTTTTGTTCCCTTGTACATGAATGTACAACATTTTTTAATTACTGTTGTTATTATTATTATTTTTAGGAAAAGAGAGGCAAAAAAGCAACAGAGGAGAAGATTTTTTCGGTGAAAACTGTTCAGCCATTTCCAAAGCTACGATTAAAGAATTAGAGAAAACCAGAGGCTGGTAATACAGTCAGGCAACAGTACTGAGAATAAGAAGCATGCCTCTATCGTGCCTTTTCATGATACCAAATCCTCCTGCATTTAAGCATCTTGAAAAATCAGCGTCTGGCAACTATGGAAGAAACAAAAGCCATGGCAGGCAGAATGAAGTTAAAACCTGGAAAGACTTGGACTGAATAGAAGGAAGAAAGAATTACATCCAGCAAAAGAAAAAGACAGGAGAAGTAAAAATAGCTGGCAGGGGATGTGTTGTGAAAACAGAAAAAGGGAAGGCTCAGAGGTAAGGCAGCAATCAGGGACTTCACCCTACCCACGGCCATTCTCTAAAAATAACTTCAAGACTAATCTTATCAGCAACATTTAATCCTACTGATCTTGCACAATAGATAATTATGTAACATTATCTATAAATAGATTATAATTGTTCAAATTCTTACCAGATGGTATGAAGACTATGTTAATCCCAAATATAGTGTGAGTCAGCCAAGTGTAGAGTCCATAGAACCCAGCCATTTTGAGGGAAGCATCAAATACACCTCTAAAACAATCAAAGAAATTCTGTTAAATTTTATTGGCAATAGGATTCTGAGAACTATAAAGATATACACAAGCTGCTTTGAAAAACTGCAAAGCCATTAGTGCCACAAATAACGTAACTCAAAACGTAACACCGAACCCTCTATGCATTTGTTCCCTATGAAAAAGAATAAGCATCCATCACATCTGTCATTTAAGGCACTTAAGACACAAAAAACCCAGACTGTTCTTTACTGTACAATGGGTTCCAAGGACAAACTCCTTGAAAGAAACTGCTCAAGCGTCAGACTACATCCTCCATCAAAAATAACCTTTTATCTGTGAGAAGCAGTACCATTCTACATATGAACTACTTTTTCTTTGCCCTTTTCCACTTCTACCTGTTCACTCGTTTATCTGCTTACATTTCTATACCTGCTCATTCTCATCGGATTAAAACCACTGGTCTGTGAAGTGAAATAGGCTGCTTAAACTCTTACTTTCCTACATACTTACATGGCTTTCCAGATGAAAATAACTGACCACCTCATATTCACTACTGGATTTTAGCCTCAATACCTTTACATTCCTAGCTTTTAGGTTGCTTAATAGGTTACATTACTAAAAATCAAATAGAAAGTCTGGTAATCTAATTCATTCCTGCTGAATCTACATCCAACATGCTGGCCACAAAACAAAGTTCTCCTCTCTTAAGTATGACCACAGCTTCATGAGACAGCAAACAGGCAGCTAAGTGCTGTATCATTTTTACAGCACTAGTGCACTTAGACATGTGGAGTATCCTAGAACTGAACTGAAAACCTGTGCCTTAGGACTACAGTCACAAAAATTATACTCTAAAACTGGTATGTCTCACTATTGATTATGCCAGTTTTTCACCCTTATTTGAGAAAGGCATGAAGTTTCCCGAAACCACTATTTTAGCTTGGATCTAGGTAACCAAACTGTCCCTGAGTTCCTCTCCTCAGACCAGTCCTAGCAGTTACATCACTGCAGAAGTGGTGGCACATGCACCCTCTTAGCAAAGATAAATGCAAAGTTTGCTGATGTTAACTTCCCATTCTACATTTCATGCTTTTAATTACACTGCTTGTGTCTCTGCAGTTTTGGGAACTCTGGCAGGAGGGCAGAGAGGACAGGAAGACATGCAACAGAAATCATGAAGCCAGATGCTTAGTGGAAAGGTTTTCATTGCACTTTGAAGAAGAACACATTCTGCACAGAAAACGGCCCTTTCTGGAACTAAAGCCTCTAAGAGCACAGTTTTTTTCCTCTGTTGAGTCAGTAAAGCCTCCTAGAAAAGAAATCTTCTCTGCTATTAAACTACTAAGTAGAATCTTCTCTTCTGAACTACCAGGAAGAATTCCAAGACTCCAAGTTTTTGCTTCTTTGGGGACCATCTTCATTATTATTTCCATGGACAGTTTGCATATTTTTGCCCTCCTTTACCACATAAAGGCATGCATAGATTCCCAAATGACTGCTGAATCAAAATTATCTTATTTTAAATTCACCCACTGGAAGTTATGAGTGCCTAATAAACCTCACACATCAACAGTGTTGTTCAAAATGTGAGATCTCTTAACAGATTAACTAAGAACAGCTGTTGTCAGCCATCTCCCCCCAAAAAAGAGGGAAAGGGAAATATGGAAAAAAGCAAGCTTTAAAGAATGACCTGAAATAACAAATCCAACCTTTGACAGGCAAATATTACGTGCTGCATGAAGAAGGGGAAGGAATATTTACAAATACATGGTGGCCTTGGTGAAAAGAACCTGAATACTCTGCAGTTTATCTAAACTTCTATAATACTAAAATGGGAAATCACAGACCAAAATATATAGAATCTACAGATTTTGAAGAGTGAAACACTCACCTGTATTTTAGTTATAAGAAAAGTAAGCTTCTGACATAAAAAACAAACAAACAAAAAAGGCAAGGAGGAGAGAAGACCCCAAAAACCAAAGCCACGGTAAGAATGCTAAATGTGAGTTTGCATTAAAAACTCAAGATGTTCTCATACTTTAGCTACTCAAAAGTCTTAATTTTTTGCATTTTCTCTGACATTTAATTCATCTCTGCTCTTTCTGAGGATATCAAAGGAGCATAATATTTTTGTTACAAGAACCTGTTTATTAATTGAAACTGATTCTGTCAACCATCAAGTATAAAAATCATAAAAAAAAAGGAGGGAAAAATAGTCAATCTATCAACATTTTAAGGACACCTTACAGAAACAGAGGGCTAAATACCACTTTAATCCATACATGCAAGTTATCTGCGGTTAGATGTTAAGAATTTAGAACGTGAACAATTACAACTGGGTCCTTCACAATGGAAGCCTCCAGGCTGCTGGAGAGATGAAGTGCTATCTGTACGGCAACAATCGCAAGGGTGCGACAAAAAAACCCCATCACTTCTCCTGGTTGCACTGAAGATACATTTGTTCCCACTAAACCCTTATGCTTTTGTCAAACCAACTTCCTCAGCCTTGTTGGTCTCTTAAATCTTAGACCTGTCCCGTAGAAAACCCTTTGCACTATAAAGAAGGTATCTCACCACTTCTGAAACTCTTCCCTGGTGACACAAAGTTTTCAACTTTTTTTAACGCTATTTGCCACAGGTCCTTCCAAAACAAAACCAAAAAGCCCCAACATATCCAAAACAATTTGTTAAAAGGAAGCATTAAATCTGAATATTTAATAGCATCTATGAGAACCCAGATTTCAACATGCTATAATTAAATCTTCGAGTAAATCTTTTTCCTATCAATCAAACAGGAACTGTGGCAAAAATACATCTCAGTTGTCAAAAATATTTTAAAACTTTCCTTGAAATATCTCCTTATTTTTCTCATAAAGATGTTTTCTGTACTGTACTAAAATTAACAAGGTATTAACAACTTCTGTAAGTATGCCCCAAAACTACATTTCAGTATACAGGAGGGGAGGCCGGACTCTGGCTCGAGGCAGATATCTGAAGTATCAACCCTACTTGAAATTAAAATATCCATCTACAACTACAGGAAAGACACACTTATTAAACAAGCAGGCACTTTAGATTTTCCCACAGAGACTACAAAGGAAGGGAAGACAGTCTTATTATGGCAATCAAAAGAAAGACAACCACCCAGAAAAATGATTCCAACAGCTAGAATTAGTTGCTGTAAATTTAACTATGTTAGGGTGTAACTGTAGAACTGTTTCTCATTCATAAGAAAGCATCCAAAACTGCCATTCTAATTTACACAGTTTTCGCATTTCAGTTCAGACAAGCATAACCGTTATCCTCAGATTAATTTTATTCAAATTTAAATTCAAGTTCTGCCACGTCTTTTGCTGCTGTAGTCATGCAGCTTGTGAGAAAATTTTACAGTTAAGTCCACTACTCATTACAGATGCACTAGTAGAATAACAGAAAAGTTAATCATGGACCAACAGGTATGTCCTGGTCTGATGTCATTCTGCAAGTTGATATATAATATATTTCAATAGCAAAATAGTATACACCCCTAAAAGACTGTAAAACAGTACAGCATCTCTCTAGCTTCTTGCATCTAGCACACACAACTAATAAGCTGAAAGAAGGCATCACACAGTGCTGAGAAGCTGTGAGGTGCCAGTGGTCAAGCAGGAAGCAAGAGGAGGTTGTACCTAATCTCATTCTCCTCCTCTCCTGCTCCTTCGTGTCTGCCTCAACTAGTCAGAAAAAAGCACAAGGGATCCTACTTTGTGGCAAGTGTGGCCCAGAACTCTAAAGTCTCTGAAGACTCGTGTTTGTTACTTCTGTCAGAAAAACCAAGAATCATATCTTAAAGTCTCTAGAAATTCATATCCATTTGACTTCATGGTTAAGGCAGCTAAAAAAAATAATGCTGAAAACACTAGCCAGAATCTTCATCAACAGTATGCTTCAGCTACTCTGCATCTGTGATACCAGATCTTAAAGATGATGTGGTATGCTAGTGCAAACACTGAATAAATTTATTACCATCTGTAAAATGCAGACCTTCCTGGTGAAATTATGACAGTAAATTAATTTCATCTCTTAATACATTATTGGCATACATACAGTTTCCTTTTACATACACAAGAGTAACTGTATGTTTCAGAAAGCAGAAAATCCAATTGCTGCTCATGTCTCACTTTTGGCATTTTTGTATCTGGATGAACCACTTTACCTGCAAGAGCTTTCATCTGCAAATGTGTAATTTATGAGCACTTCACGGCAATTTGGTGTAAGGCATACTTAGACATACATGTTCCATTTTACTGAGCTTTGAAAAGCATGTAAAATTAAAAAAAAAAAAAAAAATCAGAGGACATGGGTCTTACTTCACATGATTCAGATTAAAAATGAAGATACTTCTGTCAAATTGTCAAATGTTTCTGCACAGCTGGCCTAAATATTTTTTTTGTGAAAGTTCTTTCTACTTAACTGAAAAGCTAGGGAATTTGCTTGTAGATTTCACAAGGGAAAGTGCTACCTTTTCATTTTATGGGTTTTGTGGGGTTTAGTGGTTTTTTTTTTTTTTTTTTTTTTCTCTTTTACTGATTTGCCATAAAAAGTCTACAGCTTCCCCTCTGCTTCTATTGAATATTACATTAAATGTATGTCCACCTGAATTCAGGTTCACTTCACAGAGCCTGCAGGTAAGGTCTGTTCACCATTAGCGACACAGTAGAATTTCAAGATTTTCAACCTAATGCTACAACAACCCCAGTTGAAAGGAAAGAGGCAGAAAAGTGAAGACTCCTGGGATGCAGAACATACCTCAAGCTTCAACTCAGAGCATCCATTTTTTGACCTCAGAGTTAATTTGATTTTCTAGATCTCTCTGTCCCCAGAGCACTGGAGGAAAGAAGAGCATATGGGCTGAAATGATGAGAATTGGAGTTTCCAGGAAGATTAGAGTAAGTATCTAGTAAGGTCAGGAGAGAGATTTACTGGTTACTATACTAAATTTATAATGAAGCCATATTGACCCTGGCCACTGAATGG